TCTCTCCCCTCTCTCCTTCCCTTGTTCTCTTCCCTCCCATCTCTCTCTCTCCCCCTTTCTCTCTCCAGCTGCATCAGGACACTTGACAGTCAGCAGCAAATGTTTGCCCTGGTGCATTGCACTGCGAGTAGTAATTAGATGCACATCTCAAATAATATTTTTAAAACTGTATGGGCAAAAAAGAAGACACATTATTCTGTATTTCCAGTTCCAAAGCATGAACATTGTAATGATAGTGTTTAGAAATATGTATCACTTTATTAACAGATTTTTATATAGTTATCAAAGATACTAGTGTTCGCTACCCATTTGAAAGATATAAATCAGCTATCTAGTTCTCTTTCCCAAAACATAAAGATGAGTCAGTTATTTTTACTTTAGTAATAATGATATGAATTCTAAAGGTTCTAAATTAAAAACTGGGGTAACCTTATAGTCTCTCCCTAATGATAACTCATGCTCACATAAAATCTAAGAAATCAAGAATGTCTGTACTTATAGCTATAATAAATATTTTTGTAACAAAAATTAAGATGTAATGTCTCAGGAAATCTGAAATATGCAGATGCTATACTTGCAGAAATACTGAGAGATTAAATTATAGGCATTACAAATCTTATAATAATGGGCCATGAAACAAGCAGATGGGCACTGTCCAAATTCTAGAAGGTTGGCTCTGTCCCTACTTATAGTGCATGGCTAATGCTACTGGAACTCACCAGACTGCGAGAACCCCGGCCTTCCGCACAAGTGGAATTTATGATGCAGGCCCCATTCCGTGTCCCTTTCTCAGGGAGCTTATGAAGGCCCAGCGGGACAGACTCAGAGGTGCACATTATGTGCACAAGACACATAGTGGTTAATCCACACCGGTTTTGGAATTTGTGGTGATATTTTCTGCAGATTTACTTTTGAAGAAATGGGATGGCAAGAAAAGCAGGTTCTATTTTTCAAAGGCTTTAATGAATTCATGTTACTGTATGAACAGATGGCAGCTCCATTTTTTAGCAGCTAATTTCTGTCCACAACAGAAATACTGGACTCAGTTCACTAACCTGGTAATGGAAGACAAATGGTCACACTAACCTCAGAAGAACTAATTTCTTCCATTCACACTGACGTTTGACAAAGGCCTTGTAGTGGTAGAAAAATCAAAGGGTTTTCTTTATGACTTCTCCCCTTTCCTAGAAGGTAAAAAATAATCAAGCACCACAAAAATTTTCTTATAAATTTCTCTAGTGCTTCTTTTAATTGACAAAGTGCTTTTAAAAGGACTACAGCACTATATATTTGCTTCAAAAACATACAGAATGGTTTGTTTCAAATTTAAGACTATATTTTGCGCAGACATATTTTTGGTGGTGACAAAAGTTGGTGTAACTCCTTACCTGCCACCATGAGGGTCCTCAGAGCTTTTGCACAGCCGGAGTCACCTCGGCCAGCTCTGTGCAGGCCGCACTGGGGGACCCCCACAGAGCTCCTAAGAGAGCACCCGAATCAGGATGAGCTTTTTCAGCCCCAAGCTTATCTGGGGGACCCCCCCTCAATCTAGCAAACAGATGTCAATTTAAATAGGTTGGATTTTTTGGTGGACCAGGAATTGAACTCAGGACCTCACACCTGCCAGGGAGATGCTACACCACTGAACTAAATCCCTGACCCTGTCCATTTTTTTTTTT